TGCCAAACCAGCCGATATTCAGAGTGTGTGTACCCAGCATACCTTTTGGATAGAGCTTACAAGGGTTAAAACTAATCAAGTTTTATGTCTGTGTTCCTACTATGGGGATGCACTTCCTCAAAGGAGCAATGTCACCAGAACCAAAAGGACAAGTTCTGAGTTGCTGCCATCCAGAAAAGGAATAGTTGGGAATCTTCCAGTGAGGACACTTGTTCTGGTAATCACCTGTTGAAAACTGTCTAGGCAAGAATAGATTTCTCTAGTTTTGAATTAAAAAAGTAACAGACTCCTCCATCTACACCAGGGGTCTCCAAACTATGGCCCTCCAGGTGTTGAAGAACTGCAAGTCCCATGAGGCCTTGCAAGACTGACAGCCACAGGCAAGACTTCCAGAGGCGGAGGGATTATGGGACTTGTAGTACAATAGCTGGAGGGCCACAGTTTGGAGACCCCTGATTTACAATAGCACAAACAATATCCCACTGCCAAGCTTCTGTATTCTGACAGGCCCCTTCAACAAAAATTTTCAAGAAGCTTTTTTGACAACAGACAATTGCACAATCTATTTTTTTGTCAAATGGAGCAGACAACAGGGCCACGCACAGCTTGATTTTTAGCTGATCCAGAAGGAATCTGCAGAAATTCAAGCAGTGCCATCTCAAGAGTCAAAGCCCAAATAAAATCTGCACACTTCACAGTAGTTGACCTTTAAATAACTGATGGATGCTCAAAGTGCTTGCCACAGATGTTGCCATGCCAGAAACAGATATGAAAATACAAAGTTACCAGCACTTCACCTAATGTATTGTGAAAACAGCTTCACATAAGAAAGTCATGCAAGTCATAAGAAACTGACATTTTGAGGCCTCTCAGATTCCCTTCTTCAAGGCAAAATTGTGACTTCACTATTTTCAGAGCTTGTCTAAGAGGAATTTACCTTACATTAGAAATTTCATCTCATGGACAAGTGAAATTTCTTAAATAGGACAGATAGAAAAAAAATGATTGGGGTTTTAACCATTCAGTAATTTAAAATGAAAGGTGTTTTAGATATGCCAGTTGTGTCTTTATTTTACTGGATCATTCATACAGGTACAGAGGGCTGTATACCACAGAAAGCATATTTCTGTGCCCAGAGGTCACAGGTGTTGCACACAGTAGTCTGAAAAAAATAATAATTGGACAGCAGCTGCACATGGGTACCACATCTGTGTGCAGTTACCAGCACACAGCCCCATTGGTCTGTACAGGCATCGAAGTTTAAGTTCTAAGTGGGAGATTTTGGGGGGAAATGCTACATCAGGCAGCACCACACAGTGAAGTCTGGAAGAAAGTTATCTACATTGTAAGCTAATAAAGCTTAAATGTGAGCAGACCGGCTCTTTATTGCAGAAGAGGCATTGTGGGGTTGATTTACTAAAACTGGAGTGCAAAATCTGTTGCAGCTCTGCAGAGAAACCAGCTATCAGTTTTTGTGTGAAAGCTTAAAGGGTAAGTTCACCTTTTAAAAAATAAAGGCAAGTATTGCATCAGCAGATCGCTAGTGCCATGCAGTACTCCTGCAGCCCTGTCAGTGTATCTGTGTGCTCATACCTCATACGGACAAGCAAATACAAACTGACAACCAATGAACTGCTACAGCACGCAACAGTGAGAACTACAGTCGCAAAGAAGGTCAGAACTTGTAGTTTTCCCATACGCAGAATACTGTGAGTGATGCCGCCGGAGCCCTGCATGGTCACTTTTTTTTTTTTTTTTAACTTGTGACAGATAGTGGTGGGAGATCCACCTTTAGCTGTCACAACAGGGGATCGGGGGGTGGGAGGATGAGCTGGGGCCAGTTCTACAACCTGAAAATGGATGTAACGTGTTACCATGCACAGCTGTACCAGATTTTGCACTTTCCAGTTTTAGTAAATTGATCTCTTTTCAATAAAAAAAACTTGTCTGTGAAATCCTTAGAAAGTACACTAAGCTACGCAGGCCCAGAACAAGAACAGTGAAAGATATTGGCACTGGTGAGGTGGTTAACTTTGCCCCACTTTAAAAAGGAACTTCCCCTACATAGTTTTTCCCTGTCCCCTCATAAAACATACATGCTCAGTGAATTCTGAGTTGTCCGACTGTAATCAAATAGATGTATGGCAGGTCCTGTGCCACTATCTTTCCACAAAACACTGGGCGCCAGCTGCTGTCTGTAAGCTAATGCCTCCTGAGATATCTAATGTGGACATCTCAAAAGGCTGCTGGGACCCTTTACATGAAATTCCATTCCCAGCTTTTTAGACCTGAGGATAGGTGGGAGAGCTGCAAAGAGGCAAAGTGTTTTTTGCAGTGCTTTAAGGGTCCTTCAGTCCAGGTCACAAACCAAAATCTCCATCCTTTTCCATTTTTGGACCTAAACTTGATGATTTTGAGTTGTCTGACATGCCATTTTCATCTGCATGCCTATAGACCTAAGGTGGGTCCATTAAAGTGTTACTAAACCCAGGACCCTGCATTCACTATCTGGTCTCCCACGGTACACACAACATGGAAATGCAATTATTTTAGTAAATATAAACTGCTAAGTACCTTTTCTCATCAGTTAGAGCAGTCTTGTGACTTCTATCAGTGTCCAGCAAAGCACTGGTTACAGCTTGTAGGAGTTTCATTCTTCTGTAGGAGGATGCAGGACCCCTGACCTGTCTGGAAAGTACCGATTGGCCCTGTGCTGATCTCAATCACTTGCCCAAAAGAGAAAAAAAAAAACTAGCAATACACCAAACTGAGCATGTGCAGCTTGCCCCCAAGCCTCTGTTCTATCAGGAGATATTTAGGAGAAACTGAAAGGGGAGGATCAGAGAACCAAACCTCTTTTTTACACAGTAGAGGATTAACCCCTTAGGATCCACAGTGATAACAAGCATGATTTACTGCATATACAGATTTTATGGTTTTGGGTTTGGTAACACTAAGATCTGTGTAGAAAAAAAAAAAAAAATCTAACAGACATGAATGCCAGAAGGTGACACCCATACCGGTCAGGTCTGATTCAGAATGTGTTCACAGATCCCCTGTTGATTGGAACAGATACAACTCATATAAAATGGGCCTAACATGGCATTCTGCTCTCAGTGGATTAGAGGGAATTAAAGACCAAGCTCACTTACAGTAAACTTGTCCTTTAACCCCTTCACAATGCCCTTTTAGTGGGCTTCAATGCCAGGAGGCAACGCAGAGTTTCATGTGACCACTGCGACTGGCAATCCCATTGTTCACATGCTCAAGAGGCCATCCTGCTGGCTCCTGGTCAGAAGATGTAATCAAGAGCTGTCAGAGACCACTGTGCTGTGAACACAAACTTCAGGCCACCATTGCCATCATAAGCAGCTGAATGTTACAGGACATTTTTCCTGCCAGCCCATATATGTGTTGTGTAGTCACCAACAGGATAACACCTGCATCTTATAGTTACATTGGTCCACCTTGGACCAATGTAACATATGACATACCTGGCCGATGCTAATGAAAGCTTGAAATAACTGAAAGACACCACTACTCAGGTGATCTCCACTTGCTTATGGGTAACGGACCAAGCAGCTGCTCTCCTGTATTCTGAACCCAGGAGGATGTCTGCTCCTCAATGTAATGCAAAGCGTTCTCTGATTGGAAAGTGTTTGGCTGTAGATGTGGAACATACTAACATCCTGTGGGTCATAATAAGTGTAAGGAAAGTGTTTGGCTGTATATGTGGAACATACTAATGCCCTGTGGGTTGTACCATGTGTAAGGAAAGTGTTTGGCTGTAGATGTGGAACATACCACTCATGTCCTGTGGGTCATACCAAGTGTAAGGAAAGGGTTTGGCTGTAGATGTGGAACATACCACTCATATCCTGTGGGTTATACCAAGCGTAAGGAAAGTGTTTGGCTGTAGATGTGGAACATACTAATGTCCTGTGGGTCATACCAAGTGTAAGGAAAGGGTTTGGCTGTAGATGTGGAACATACCACTCATGTCCTGTGTGTCATACCAAGTGTAAGGAAAGGGTTTGGCTGTAGATGTGGAACATACCACTCATGTCCTGTGAGTCATACCAAGTGTAAGGAAAGGGTTTGGCTGTAGATGTGGAACATACTAATGTCCTGTGAGTCATACCAAGTGTAAGGAAAGGGTTTGGCTGTAGATGTGGAACATACCACTCATGTCCTGTGAGTCATACCAAGTGTAAGGAAAGGGTTTGGCTGTAGATGTGGAACATACCACTCATGTCCTGTGAGTCATACCAAGTGTAAGGAAAGGGTTTGGCTGTAGATGTGGAACATACTAATGTCCTGTGGGTCATACCAAGTGTAAGGAAAGGGTTTGGCTGTAGATGTGGAACATACCACTCATGTCCTGTGGGTCATACCAAGCGTAAGGAAAGTGTTTGGCTGTAGATGAGGAACATACTAATGTCCTGTGAGTCATACCAAGTGTAAGGAAAGTGTTTGGCTGTAGATGTGGAACATACCACTCATGTCCTGTGGGTCACACCAAGCGTAAGGAAAGTGTTTGGCTGTAGATGTGGAACATATACTAATGTCCTGTGGGTCATACCAAGCGTAAGGAAAGTGTTTGGCTGTAGATGTGGAACATACTAATGTCCTGTGGGTCATACAAGTGTAAGGAAAGGGTTTGGCTGTAGACGTGGAACATACCACTCATGTCCTGTGGGTCATACCAAGTGTAAGGAAAGTGTTTGGCTGTAGATGTGAACATACCACTCATGTCCTGTGGGTCATACCAAGTGTAAGGAAAGTGTTTGGCTGTAGATGTGGAACATACTAATGCCCTGTGGGTCATACCAAGTGTAAGGAAAGTGTTTGGCTGTAGATGTGAACATACCACTCATGTCCTGTGGGTCAACAAGTGTAAGGACCACGTTTGGCATGTGGTACCACTCATGTCCTGTGGGTCATACCAAGTGTAAGGAAAAGTTTGCTATGCCAAGCGGCACACAGATGTCAGCACATACCCTCTGGTTAACCGTATTATGTCTCCGGGCTGGATAAGGCTTCCAATTTCATCCCACACAGAGACTGTGATGCTCCCCGTTTTATCTGCCACCTTGCACGACCTGACTTCATGCCCATCTTTAGTTTTTGTGACTCTGCCTGTATGGGGGACGGAGAGAGGAAAACAGTTTAGTCATGACAAGGACAGCAGTCAGAGCAGGAAGAGCCCGGAGTGCGGACAGCAGAGAGGGGTCCAGCTCACCTACCGCCCTCGGGGCCACTTACCGATCTCCAGCACAATAAAGACGACATTTAAGTTTTTCTGCCCGGTCTTTATGTCTTTAATAGACACGAACGACTCGTTTGGTAAGTTCATGGTGGTGTGAGAGGAGCGCAGGGCATTACGGTCCCCAGCCCGCGCACAGCGCTCCGCTTTCCCCTCGGGTGTGGAGGGGACTCAGGAGACCACAGGACGGGCGGGGGCTCCGCTATCACTGAGCGCTCATTGACGCCACAGCCTGACAGAAGCCCGCACTCGTCTATAGGCAAGGCACAGCTCTATCACGGGACAGTTCGCTTTATACAGAAACACATACAACTCGCTGCTTCCCTCACAACCGTCTACGCCGCACCAGCCTCCCTCCACAACACACAATGTGTGCGAGCATGTGCCTGCTGACCTATATATATAACAATAGAGCATACCATTATGAACGCTCTACGGGACGCACCTAGAGCTATGCCAACGGTGTTAACGCCTATGTTACATATACATTCTCAATAGTTATTACTTTGCTTGAAATGATACATTACACCCAACTGCTTGAGTGCCCACCGCTCCAAACTAAAACTTCTAACTACAATGTAACGTCTGAGTTCCCTGAGAGTGTGAATGGTACAGTCCCTTGAATCAGCTCGTTCTTTTCTATCGACTGTACAGAAATGTATGACGGTGATTGGATGGCCGGAGAGGATGAGGCGTGGCCCAGGCTTCTTTTGTCCTCTCTGAGTTTAGCACGTTCAGTGCTGGTTCGGAGCGGAGGGAGGATGGTTGTATGTCATTGTTCCGGGAGCTGGGAAAAGCGCGGTGTGCCATGTGTAGATTATATCCTGGCACTGAATGAAAATGACATAATATATAATAACAACGGAGTCAGCACACTGCCAGTAGTTCCGGCCTTGCTCTTATGGGCCAACTTCCATCCTGCAGCACACCATTCTACCTTGAGAATGGAAAATGTGGGCCTCGTTCACACTGACAGGACCAAACCTACGGTTAGGTGTGTTTAACCACTTACCCTGCAGAGGATTCACCCCAACTTCTGACCAGGCCAATTACTTTAACTGACAATTGCACGGTCATGCAACACTACCCAAATTAAATGTGTCCCTTTTTTTCCCCCAAAAAAAAAATAGAGCTTTTTTTCTGTGGTATTTGATCACCTCTGCGGTTTTTATTTTTTGGGCTATAAACAAAAACTGCAAATTTTGGAAAGTTTTTTTTGCTATAAAACATCCCAAAAAAAAATTTTCTAAATGTAATTTTTTCATAAATTTAGACCAAAATGTATTTGCTACATGTCTGCTAAAAAAAAAAAAAAATCCAAATAGTTATTTTTTATTTAATACTAGTAATGACGGTGATCAGCTATTTATAGCGGGACTGTGGTGGGCATTCTGACACGGGGGGAACGGACTTGGTGCCACTGACACCCCCAGTGACACCAATACAGTGATCAGTGCTAATAAAAAGCATCAACACTACTAATGACACTGAGCAGGAAGGAAGAAGAAACAGTTTTTGGTGGTTTTATCCTATGTGTCCATGCACACAGACTGTAATCAACATTTTTTTTGGCTGGGAAAAAAGGACTAGTGGGTTTCTAGAGTTTTTTAGCTGTAAAAAATGCTCTAACTGTAAAAATGCTCTAACGCAGCGTTTTTGGACTTTTTTTTTTTTTTGGTAAAAAAAAAAAACTCTGAAAAACCCAAATGCGGGAAAAACACTGCTAAAAGCTAATGCAAAAACGCTAAAAAAAAGCTGAAAAACTTGCATTTTTAACATGAATTTACACAGCTAACATTTTATTTATTTCAGGTACTTATATAGCACCATCAATATACACAATGCTTTACATGTATATTGTACATTCACACCAGTCCCTAACCCTCAAGGGGTGTACAATCTAAGGTCCCTAACTCATATTCATACATACATATACTAGGGCCAATTTAGACAGGAGCCAATTAACCTACCAGCATGTCTTTGGAGTGTGGGAGGAAACCAGTATCCAGAGGAAACCCATGCAGACACAGGGGAGAACATGCAAACTCCAGGTAGACGGTGCCGGGGTTGGGATTCAAACCAGTGACCGTAGTACTGCCAGGCGGAAGTGCTAACCATTTAGCCACTGTGCTGCCCCCAGTGTTATCAAAATGTCCGATGTGCATGAGGACTCAAAGTTGTAGAGACTTCTCAGATAACTTAGAATCCTGCTAAGCCCTGAAGTGCCAGTGTGAATGAGGCCTAACACTGACATAGGAACAGTGCACCACTCGGTGTACAGCTTCACATGTGCTTAGAAGCCAGCACCAGTCTCCCTGATCACCTTTGTGTACTCAGCACTGTACAGCCTGTGTCTTCTCTCTCTGCCTCCAGCTCAGCCCACTCAAGGAACCTCACCCTTGGAGCAGACATGTCCAGAGCTGCTCTGCCCCCCAATCCTCAAAGTATAACAAAAGGCAGCATCTTGTTATTTTGGATAGAGTAGACAAGGATTGAACACTTTGCAGGTTTTTATTGCTGTTTGTTCCTCTGTTGGGGAGATTAACCCTATTGATCCTGATTAATTATCACAGAGAGTGAAAGTGAAAGAAAATCCCAAATTTTGAGTTGTCACCAGAACAGGGTTCATTTACCACTGCCCAGTATGTTTGCTTTTTTACTGAACCTCAGTTTGTGTGCAGGGTATCTATATTTATGCTCCCAATCGTAATGCAATATCCATTTGTTTAAAGCGGTACTAAACCCAAAATTGGGATCTTTTACAGCTTACCTATCATTGGATGTAGTGGCTGCATCACTTGTTTTTTTCTTTGGCTTTTTTCCTTTTTGTTTTTACCTGGTGATCTGGCCAGTAACTCACCTGCTGTATTAGTGAAACATCACTCTGGATGAATAGCACAGGAGGCACAACAGACAACGCATTGTCAGTCTGGGGGGAGGGCAGTGTTAAATGTACCTGTAGATATAAATAGACTAAACAAATTTAAGCCAAACTCCAGCTTTATAATCAGTTACAGAAAACAGTTTTTATCAGTTTGGGATAAAGGCTTTACATCAATAAGTAAAAGCTGATCATTTTAATCACCCTTGCCAGTGTTAAGTGGTTTGTCTCATCCATATAAATTGATACATTTTGCTGCAGAGCATGAGCTTTTGAAAAACAATGGACTATATGTCTGAAAATAGAAGAAAGAAAGCCTAAAAGAGAAAACAAATGCAGCCATCACATCTATGAATTGGTAAGCTGCAATATAACAAATGTTTACTTTTGGGTTTAATACTGCTTTATTCAGGTGTGTCAGTGGGGCTGAGGCTACCAAGTGGCTCCTGTGGGGTTAGCACTACATAAAATTAAAAGGAAACGCTTTTTCATATGTCTTTGTCATGTTGGAAAGCTGCATTTTAGCGCAGCAAAAGTGCCCCATTTGAACAGAGTCTGACCCTAGGTTCACACTTGTGGATTTCAGTGCATTTTCCAGTTTACAGAAATGCACCACAGTCCATTTAACATGGTTTCCTATTGATCTAGTACACATCTGTGCATTTTACGTGTAATGGACTTCAATGGACCCACCCAAAAATGCAAGTGTTGCATTTTTTATGTATTTTGCTGGGTTTTTTTTGCTAATAAGAAGGTATGACAGTTCTGTTCATGTAGTGCGACTTGGGTGCAATTTTACAATCTAGCACTTATGTCACATCAAAGTAGTGTAGTAACCTTTGTGTGTCCAAAGTCACATGTTAGGGTTGGGGTTAAGGGCTAGTGTTAGGGTTAAATTTAAGAGGGTTAAGAGCTATGGTTAGGGTTAAGGGCTACCCTTAACCGTAACATTTAATCCTAACCCTAGCATCTAACCCTAGCCCTTAACCCTAACATTTAGCCCTAGCCCTTAACCCTAACATTTAGCCCTAGCCCTTAACCCTAACATCTAACCCTAGCCCTCAACCCTAACATCTAACCCTAGCCCTCAACCCTAGCATCTAACCCTAGCCCTCAACCCTAACATCTAGCCCTCAACCCTAACATCTAACCCTAGCCCTCAACCCTAACATCTAGCCCTAGCCCTCAACCCTAACATCTAACCCTAGCCCTCAACCCTAACATCTAACCCTAACATCTAACCCTAGCCCTCAACCCTAACATCTAACCCTAGCCCTCAACCCTAACATCTAACCCTAGCCCTCAACCCTAACTTAATCTAACCCTAGCCCTCAACCCTAACACATAGCCCTTAACCCCATTTAGCCCTAACCCTAGCCCTTAACCCTAACATCTAACCCTAGCCCTCAACCCTAACATCTAACCCTAGCCCTTAACCCTAACATTTAGCCCTAAACCCTAACATCTAACCCTAGCCATTAACCCTAACATTTAGCCCTAGCCCTCAACCCTAACATCTAACCCTATAACCCTAGCCCTTAACCCATTTAGCCCCTAGCCCCTCAACCCTAACATTTAGCCCTAGCCCTTAACCCTTAACCCTAACATCTAACCCTAGGTCTTAACCCTGACCCTAACATGTGACTTTGGAAACATAAAGGTTCCTGCACTACCTTTGATGCGACTTTGATGCTATTTGAGTGCCAGAGAGTGTAAAGTTGCATCAAAGTCACACTACAGAAACAGAACTGTCATACTTTCCTATTGGCAAAAAAAAAAAAAGTGTCAAAAACACGTGTTCAAAAATGTGCCGGAAAAATGAACAGCAACCTGCCATGGTAATCAGCAACTGTGCTGGATAACATGAATAGCTTCTGAAGTTGGTTATTCTGTAGCAAACTCCAAAGCTGCAAAATGTTATTCTACCCAGCAAGTGAGTTACAAATAGCATGGGACTTTGCAACACAGATCTGTCTTTGCAACTCATTTTTCCTAGCAACAAAAGGGCTAAAATAAGCTATTCCATAGCTGATACAACCAGCTGTAACAAAATCCCTTGTGAGACATGGGCTTTACTACTGCTTAGAAAAAAAAATCGTACATTTACCAGCACAGAATTTGTACAGCTATATCGCTGCACAGTGGTTTAAAAAAAATGTTAGGAATTAGGCTGGCCATACATGGGTCGATTTTGAACGATTTTTCATTT